CTTATGATTACTTATAAAGCCCTAAACGGTTTGGGACCTCAATATTTGGCAGATCACCTTCTCCCACTCAGATCTACCCGAATTGCCCGCCATAGCCAGCAGGGACGGCTGAGGGGCCTGACGCCAAGGGAGGCCCGGAAGGAAAAAACAAGGAACCGGGCCTTCTTGGCGGTGGCCCCTCGGCTGTGGAACACTCTTCCAACCAAAATTCTGCTGGCCCCCTCGCTGGGTGTTTTCAAAAGCCAGCTAAAAACTTGGCTATTTAAACAGGCCTTCCCGCCAGTCAATTAAGTGATTTCCACTCCTAGCTCTTTCTTTTCTTTCTTCTCCTGGTATGCCATCTTGACAATGTCTTGATTTGTAATCAAGTGCTATAATTGTAATTATAATTGTAATTTTTTTATGATTTTACATATGTTATATTACTGTGTTTTATTTGTAAGCCACCCCAAGTAGACATTGTCTAGAGGGGCGTGGTAAAACTCTAATAAATAAATATTACATCACTATTACACTGCCAGCAGAATAGAAAGTACAACTGAAAAGTTCACCTTCAAAGCAAGTGTTGGCAATCACCAGTTCCTGTTGCCTCTCCATCTGGTTAACTCCCTCCCTACTTTGGCTCTGAGTCCCTTACCCATCAAAGTAAATGTGATCAAGAAAAAGGTCTCATTCATGGAGATATGTTATTCTCAAACCTAACTAACAAAAAGGCTGAAATGCTTTTTGTTACTTTTGGCTCATTCCATAAAAGGGTCCCCACTGCAAATACACAAGGGCACACACACATGCAGGCTTGGTGAAGCACAGTAAAGGCTGTTTACTTGCCATTCAGAAACTGATTGAAAATTACAAATTTCCTTACATGAAGCAACAGGATATTATCTAACAACCCCTTTTGACCCTGTATGCTGTACTTCCTTATGGTAAGTGGAGCCTTCTTTTCCATGCCAAAGGAAAGGAGAAAAAAATAAAAGGGTGGCAGAGAAAGAGGGGAGAGAAAAAGGAGGGGATGGAGCAGGGGATATAGCAAGGGGGATGCTGAGAAAACAAAGGCCTGATCCACCTCCAGCATTGGCCCTGCCCTGTTTTTGCCATTAACTCCCATCACTCCTGACAGCTGGACCCTGAACAGGTTTCATCTGAGGACATGGTGCCCTTGTCATTATAATATATATATGGAATTCTTTGTCCCTGCTTTAAAGGGAAACAGCAAAGCTCACTGAAAGATTACCTGTTTGATGTGCAACAGGTGCCTTGGCACTCCTGGTAAAAATGACCTCAAGGACTGGAAAAGAACATCCTTTTTTGCCTACTAAGACAGGACTCAAAATATTAAACTGTGCTGCCACTGATTCAGTTAGACTAGAACATGTTGCTAGATCAATGGCTTAACTAAGTATAAGAAAGAGAACATTCCACATTCTGCAATATTTATTTTGCTCAATTGTCTTTTCCAGTCATGCTTAGTATTTGCTAAGCATTTTTCCTTCTTTATGCTCTATCACATTTATACAGCTGGTTAATGCAAACAGCCTGATCAACAACCATCATAAGCAAAAACTCCCTCACTCAACCTCTGCTGCTTCCCTGCCTTCCATTTGTTGTTAAAATACAGCTTGCAAAGTCCTTGGGCAAGGATGTGCAGGCACACAGATAATTCTATATAAATAATATATTAGAAAGTTAAAAAATAAGAAAGTAAAGAAGCAGAGTTCCATTCAGTCAATCACTCATGCAACTGAGACTGCTCAAGCAGACTTCCCACATATTTATTTAATGGGGGAACAACCACATTACTCTAGTTCTGTTGATGCACTCAACTGCACCTCCTGCAAGAAAAAGTTTAATGTATACAACATATAGGAGCTTTCCTGTCAAAGTGAATAGTGTGGAGTCATAATCACTATAATTTTGAATGGCACTGAATAAAGTTCAACGAATACAGTTTATACTCAGACATACATGCAGTACGTAAACAAAAAGTGTGATGGAGAGACAGAACTAGATTGTGTTGCATGAGTCCCATACAACACTGTCTTGTTGTGCATAGTATGCAAAAAGGAGTAAACACACAGCTACAATTGCACATACACAAATGTCAGGATCATTGTTTGAGTAGGAATACCTACTGAACAGAGTGCTCCCATATGGAAAGCTTAGGACAATTACTCTGTTAAATTACATTTTCCAAAATTCCCCAAAAAGCATGGCTGTGACACTTTCCAAGCCTCACATGCATGCACACATTTCCCCTATTTCTTAGCCTTATCCCTTCCTGGTGATTATTGTTCATGTATTTATGTGAAAAGGGCAGGGTGGATAAAAATCAATGATTTTTAAATGAAATTGTTTTAAATTACAAATTAAAATTTAAAAATAGATTTGTTATTTAAATTTTAAAAACCAAAAACCTTATTTTTTAAAAAAAATATAAATCAAATCCACCTTAGAAGAGGGCTTAAGAGTTGACCGGATGAGACTCACATATGAGAGCATTTTACAATCAAATGCTGTCTCACATTTAAATTTTAAAGACAACTTAACTATCCCTCCCTAATTTTGTAACATATTAGGAAGTGAAGATGCATCTCAAAAGACTACCAATCCAGAAGATGTGGAATGTCTATACATTTTACTTGTTTCAATTTGACTGACATTTTACCTGTTTACCTAGACAAATTTCTGATCATTTTCCTGTTAACAGTAGAAGTCAGCCCAGTAGTTAACATATTGTTTTCATGGATGGTATTGATTCTTTCATTGTTTTATTATTTAGCTATTGGATTCACTGTATTTGTTTTATTTCAAACTGCTTTCAGATTTTTTAAAAAAGGAAAGCAGCCTAGAAGTGCTGTGAAGTCAAAATAAATTTAGAAATTGGTATTCTAGGTAGGTTGGATGCTGAAAATGTACCTCCAAACAACTTGATTAGAAAAACAAAAACAAAAAAATAATAGACATCATCTACGCAAAATTATCCCTTACCTTCCTTTCTCAACCAGAAGGAGAACATCTAATTTTTCTCCATTTTGGACTATGCTGCTGAGAGCTGAAAGATGAACAAAACATCAGTCTACCAAGTGATGTGTAATAGACACATGGCTTTTACAAAACAAAACAACTGTACTGAAAATTATAGGGCAACATGGAAATCTACTTAAAGATGGAACAGGTCACCCTCTTTTAAAAAAGTAACCAAGATAAGACAATGGATGTTTTTCATTACAGAAGTTCCAGTGAAGTCACCAGAAGAATTTAGCTCTTAAGTTATACATAAATCTGCCTTAAATTGGCTATGCTCTCTTTACTTTCTATTTGAAAGTTTGCTCAGATATAAAGGCCAAGCATTTGATATTTTGGAATCACTTCTGGAATGCACCAGAGATGACTTTGCTGATGAGTGGTATGTGACACACACACACTCTCAAAGTAAAACTGTCCATTAATGCACAGACACAATTCCACCCCAGATCAGCAAATCACTAGACAATGACGAATTGGGACATGAACTATGTTATTTTACAAAACTTGTTTGAAAAACAGAAATAAATAATAGATTCTCCACACATCTACTTTGCTGATACTGAAATCATAATATTAAAATAAGACTTGTACTAATGACAGGAAATTACAGCTTGTGAAAGAGAAATTGGAAAGAGAGAGAAAGATGAGAATGAGCCGTCCCCTCAAATAGAAGTCTGTTTAGTGGAGGAATGAAAAGGGAAGGAGAAGGAGGAGTTAACTCTACCAATGTGGGAGGAGGATATAAAAGATCAGAAGAGAAGGGGAGTTTTCAGTATATCCAAGGGAGAGAGAAGGAAAGAGAAAAGCAGAGAGAGAGAGAGAAAAAAGGTGAACAGAGATATGAAAGACAAAGAGAAAAGCAGAGAGAGAGAGAAAAAAAAAGGTGAACAGAGATATGAAAGACAAATTTTCTGATTTGTTTTTAACTTCATGTCCTTCTCTATTCATGAGGCAACAACAGAAGTTGTCTCAGATGGTATACTTGCAAATGACTGCTTTTGGATGAGTTCATCCTTTGCAACATTTGTGTGCGACTCATGGCAATCAAGTGGTGTGTATAACTGGTATAGTATGCACTTCTTTCCCATGTGACAGTTTCTGAGGCAATACTACTTGAGGCAAAAGACCATGTCATTGGCCTTGCCCACATTTTTATTTGTACAGTATATTACTGGTCTTAGGTGCAAAACAAAAACAACCCATAAACTTTAAGAAATAGCACTAACACACAGTGGTTTAAAAATCTTACTTAACTCCTGGAGCCTCCTTAAATGCACTGAATCCTCATGACAATTTTCCAATTCTAGGCAAAAATACAGGTTTGACTTTTCAATAGAAAACCAGCCCTTTTTCCAGGTATCAAGATCATGGCAGTCTTTGTAGTACAGCTGACCAATCGCCTCATAGTCCCTCTCCAGAACAAATTTGGCTGCTGCAGGTACAAAGTGCTATTCCAAACAGAAACAAGGAAAACAAGAATTTTGAAATCAATCAGTCAATCTGAAAATAAATGCCACGTAACTTTTAAAGTTTTAAGTAAATTCAACATTACTTTTCTTCTTTCTCAAAAGGGGCTTATCTATTTTACACAGTGGTTGTCAACCTTTGGCTCCCTAGCAGTTTTCAAGTTCCAGAAGCCCAACTAAGGTTAGCCAATAGTCAGGGATCCTGGGAGCTGGAAGACTAAAGATTGAAAACTGCTGATTTAAAGTATCCATATGTTGTATTTCCATCACATCTACATGATTTTCCATGGTTGAACATGGTCAGCAAAACTGAACAAATAAAGGAGTTAAATAAGCATTGTAAAAAAAACAGATGGAGAAAAATAATTTACTGGACCATATTTACCAATACTACACCCCAAATTTCTGGGTGACTTCACTCCATAGATTCTTGTACACATTAAATAGCATGGGAAATGAGATGAAATTCTGTGAGACAATCTAATCCAATAGAAAAACACTGCCCAACATTTAAATTCTGGAATCTATAGAAAGAACTGAATCCTTCAAAAGTTGATTGCCCCTCATATAATGCCATCACGGTGCTCCAAAAGACGAATATGGTTGATACTACTGTCCAATCCCTTCATGGATTGTTGCCCCTTCATGGGTTGCTGCCTTGTCATGGCAAAGGGGCTTGAGTAATTCAGAGAAGTTATGGGCTGTGCCATGCAGGGATACCCAAGACGGACAGGTCATAGTGGAGAGTTCTGACTAAACTGGAGCAGGAACTGGCAAGCCACTCCAGTATCTTTGCCAAGAACACTCCATGAACAGAAACAAAAGGCTAAAAGATACGATGCTGATAGGAGGAGCCCCTCAGGTCGGAAAGTGTCCAACATGCTGTAGAGGCGGAAATTGACCAATTCTATGAAGACTTACAACATCTTCTAGATCTGACACCAAAGAAAGATGTTCTTCTCATTATAGGGGATTGGAATGCTAAAGTAGGGAGTCAGATAAAATGAAGAACAGGTAAGTTTGGCCTTGGGAGTTCAAAACGAAGCAGGGCAAAGGCTAATAGAGTTTTGTCAAGAGAACAAGCTGGTCATCACAAATGCTCTTTTCTAACAACACAAGAGGCGACTCTACACATGGACATCACCAGATGGGCAATACCGAAATCAGATTGATTATGTTTTCTGCAGCCAAAGATGAAGAAGTTCTATATAGTCTGCAAAAACAAGACCTGGAGCTGACTGTGGCTCTGATCATCAGCTTCTCATAGCAAAACTCAAACTTAAACCCACTGGGCTAGTCAGGTATAAACCAAATCCTTTATGAATACACACTGGAAGTGAAGAACAGATTTAAGGAACTAGACTTGGTGGAGAGACTGCCTGAAGAACTATGGATGGAGGCCCGTAACATTGTACAGGAGGCAGCTACAAAAACCATCCCAAAGAAAAGGAAAGACAAGAAAGCAAAGTGGCTGTCCAACGAGGCCTTAGAAATAGCAGAGAAGAGAAGGGAAACAAAATGCAAGGGAGATAGGGAAAATTACAGAAAACTGAATGCAGAATTCCAAAGAATAGCAAGAAGAGACAAGAAGGCTTTCTTAAACAAACAGCGCAAAGAAATAGAGGAAAATAATAGAAAGGGAAAAACCAGAGATCTGTTCAAGAAAATTGGAGATATTAAAGGAACATTGTGTGCAAAGATGGGCACGATAAAGGACAAAAATGGGAGGGACCTAACAGAAGCAAAAGACATCAAGAAGAGGTGGCAAGAATACACAGACGAATTATACCAGAAAGTTCTGGATGTCCCGGACAACCCAGATAGTGTGGTTGCTGACCTTGAGCCAGAAATTCTGGAGCGTGATGTCAAGAGGGCCTTACAAAGCATGGCTAACAACAAGGCCAGAGGAGGTGATGGCATTCCAGTTAAACTATTTAAAATCTTAAAAGATGATGCTGTTAAGGTCTGACTCTCAATATGCCAGCAAGTTTGGAAAACTCAGTAGTGGCCAGAGGACTGGAAAAGATCAGTTTACATCTCAATCCCAAAGAAGGGCAGTGGTAAAGAATGCTCCAACTACCGTACAATTGCACTCATTTCATACGCTAGCAAGATTATGCTCAAAATCCTACAAGGTAGGGTTCAGCAGTATGTGGACCAAGAACTCCTAGAAGTACAAGCTGGATTTCAAAGAGGCAGAGGAACTAGAGGCCAAATTGCTAACATGCGCTGGATTATGGAGAAAGCCAGAGAGTTCCAGAAAAACATCTACTTCTGCTTCATTGACTACGCGAAAGCCTTTGACTGTGTCGACCACAACAAACTATGGCAAGTTCTTAAAGAAATGGGAGTGCCTGACCACCTTATCTATCTCCTGAGAAATCTGTATATGGAACAGGAAGCTACAGATAGAACTGGACATGCAACAACTGATTGGTTCAAAATTGGGAAAGGAGTACAACAAGGCTGTATATTGTACCCGGGTTACTTAACTTATATGCAGAATACATCATGCCAAAGGCAGGACTGGATGAATCCCAAACCGGAATTAAGAAATATCAACAACCTCAGATATCCAGAAGTTTCCACTCTGATGGCAGAAAGTGAAGAGGAATTAAGGAGCCTCTTAATGACGGTGAAAGAGGAAAGTGCAAAAAATGATCTGAAGCTCAACATCAGAAAAACTAAGATCGTGACCACTGGCATCACCTCCTGGCAAATAGAAGGGGAAGATATGGAGGCAGTAATAGATTTTATCTTTTTGGGCTCCATGATCACTGCAGATGGTGAAAGCAGCCACAAAATTAAAAGAAGCCTGCTTCTTAGGAGAAAAGCTATGAGAAACCTAGACAGCATGTTAAAATTCAGAGACATCACCTTGCTGACAAAGGTCCGCATAGTCAAACCTATGCTTTTTCCAGTAGTGATATATGGAAGTGAGAGCTGGACCATAAAGAAAGCTGACCACCGAAGAATTGATGCTTTTGAATTGTGGTGCTGGAGAAGACTCTTGAGAGTCCCCTGGACTGCAAGGAGAACAAACTTATCCATTCTGAAGGAAATCAAACCTGAGTGCTCACTGGAAGGACAGATCCTGAAGCTAAGGCTCCAGTACTTTGGCCATTTCATGAGAAGAGAAGACTCCCTGGAATAGACCCTGATGTTGGGAAAGTGTGAAGGTAAGGGCAGAAGGAGATGATAGAGGATGAGATAGCTGGACAGTGTCACCAAAGCTACCAACATGAATTTGACCCAACTCCGGGAGGCAGTGGAAGACAGGAGGGCCTGGCATACTCTGGTCCATGAGGTCACGAAGAGTCAGACATGACTTAACAACTAAACAACAAAACAACACTGTCCAACAGAAATTCAACAGAGCCAATAGGAATACACTTCATTTTTTCAGCTTTTGGTGTACATGGTCCTCCAGGATAACGCAACTCCCAATTCCCTATTTGGAAATCTAATGAAATCAGTACAAGTGTCCAGAAATATCTGTTTTGATAACTGCCACTATTAAGCAATATAACTTGAATTAATTATGATTCTGGGTTACTTTTAATATTAGCTTTACTTTCAATATAATGTACATTTGCTCGCTTATATCAGCACACACATTTTTTACACACAAATTCTGGTTTACTTATCAAAACTCTTTGTCCAATATTCCATTCTGGTCCACAACATCTCCCATCACCCAAAAGCAGAGGGAAGCAAGAAGGGGGAAGAGTCATTAGCCAAAAATGGGTATCTCATGATTCATTATATAGACCTGGACCGCAACTCACATTGTTGCCTATCATAGGCTATGCTGGCTCAGGCTGATGGGGAATGAAGTTCAATGATATACAGAGGACTGTTATAAAGGAAAGTCAGAAATGAATTTAGAAGCCTCATGGAGCAGTCAAGGAGCCTCGTGGTGCAGTAGTTGAAACTCTTCAATCCCAGGTAGCCAGCTTGAGGTTCACTCAACCTTCCATCATTCCAAGGTCAGTAAATTAAGTACCCAGTTTCTTGGGGGAGGGAGGGGGACAATGTGTAGCCTGCATAATTAAATTGTTGAATACCCAGAGAGTGCTTTAAGTGTTATAGAGTGGTATATAAGCAGGATCCTTTTGGTTTGACCAATGGAGTAAACGACTTAACTTTTTTAAAATGGGAGTGTAGTAGTACAAAACACTGTTAATCTCATGGTCTTCAGAGACCCAAGCAGAGAAAGGCAAGACTGTGTAAGAATATTAGGTCTCCACAAGGGAAACTACTGTCCTATGTGGAGGAGGCCTGTGGGACACAGGAAGGGAGACAGGAAGCCTGGGACACATATGCTTCTGTGCTCAAAAACCTCAGTAGTTTTACAACAGCTTTATTCTTCAGATAAGAAATACTGATGTAAGAGAAAGCTAAGGCATTGATTCTAGCTATAGAAAAAACTCTACTTCCTCTCATGTGTTTTACTAGTACTTTGGAATAGAAAATTATATTCTTAAAGTGAAGAATACAAAATATTCTTTTAAAATAAAAAAGCTTTGAATTTTTATTTATATTCCACTGCATGCCCACTTCAGAAACAATTGTAACAACAGTCATTTTCCCTTAAGAAGCAAAAACGCACTGCAACTGCAACATACTGTTGCATCAATGTCATTAAAAAACCCTCTTTGACTGAAGATCATAAGACAGCATTGCCACATTAAATTTAATGCAAAGGCTCTTGGCTTAACTTGAACTAGTAATTATCAGCATTTACCTTGGCAATTGCCTGAGTCCATTTTCTCTGAATATATGCAGTTTCGGCACCAAAGAGAAATACACGTTCTGACAGTAAGTAGATTTCAAAGGTAAACATAGCTCTAAAACACCAAGGACAAGAACCAATTCAATTTGGTATAAGCTTCATTTAAAAATCCACACACACAACAGGCATTTCAATTCCCTCTCCCTCAAATTCTCTGCATTCATTTCTATTTTGACCAGTCTTTGAAACCAAACAAAAACAATGTAAAAGTTATGCCTACCAAAATGGTTTGCTTACATTATATTGCTTTTAAAACAATATGAAAGTAACTATGCATTTGACAGTCAAATGAGCAGGGAATGCAGGAGAGATGAATCATAGGAGGAGATGTAAGCTAAAAGAAAGAAAAAGGCATAGCTATACAAGGTGAGGGTTAATAGTTCCAAGCAAGAAGAGAAGAAGGGAGAGATCTACAATATTAAAAATATTTATTGACAACTTCCACTAATGGTCGAAGGTCAAAATTATAGCTGAAAAAGATATGTGAACATCACACAGGGAAATTCCATAGCCTGGATGGTACAGTGGTACCTCGCAAGACGATTACCCCGCAAAACGTCTTTTTCACTAGATGTTGACTTTTTGCAATCGCTATAGCGATTTGCAAAATGGTTTTTCCTATGAAGGATTTCGCTGGATGATGATTTGATCCGTGCTTCGCAGACCCTTTTTTTGCAAGACGATGATTTTTACAGCTGATCGGCCGTTCCACAAAATGGCTTCCCTATGGGCGATCTTTGTGGAACAGATGTTTTCGGGACCGATGCTTCGCGAGATAGAGATTTAAAAGCTGATCGGCGCTTTGCAAAATGGCTTCCCTATGGCCGATTTTCGTTGGACGACGACTATTTTCCCCATTGGAATGCATTGAACGGGTTTCAATGCATTCCAATGGGGAAACGCTTTTCGCTAGACAATGTTTTCACAGGAAAGCAATTTCAATGGAACGGATTAACATCGTCTAGCGAGGCACCACTGTACTTTTTAAAAAAACCAACCTACTACTCTCAAAATGGCTATAGGCATAGAGTTATCAATTTCTCGTTTCTTCATGACCAGCAACATTGCTACTTTTCTAAAACAACTATCCCACATGCTTTAAATTTGGAATGAGCCAAAACTTACCCCATGTGTAAGAAAGAATCAGCCTTATGAATGGCAAGACAGACGACTTCATTGAGGTCAAGCATCCCATGTGGAGAAACTGTCTTCTCATTTTCATAGTAGCTCAAAAAGCCACTTTCCAGAGTACACCACTTCTTATTAGAATCTGCATTTAGATTCATGGAAAGAAAGATGCATGAGTTTATAGACCAAAAACAAAAAACAAAAGCTCACAGTGATCCGCAAAAAAAAACAAATAAAATACATAACAAAACCAACCCCTAACCTAGTGAAACACACAAGATCAACAGAATACAAAAGTGTCTTGCAAAATATAAATAAATGTAAATCTCCCATTTTTCTTTGCCAAGAGATTTTGTAGTTCCATTAAATGATCTTCATAAAAAGTCTTATGCAAGTAGCACAACAGGAATTTGACAAGACTAGAACCCATCTACTGATTTTCAGGTTAAAATTTATATTTGGAAAACAGTTTACTTTTAATACTTTAGTCTAACTGTGGGGCGGCTAATGCACTGAATAAATGTTAATTAGAAAAAATATGGGCAAAAATGAGCTTGGGCTCTGCACAGGTTTAAAATCTCTGAAAGATCAGGGATTATATTCATGTGAAGATTCTCCATGTATAGAGATTGCTCTCCTTTTCACAGAATCATAGGATAATGGAGTTGGAAGGGGTTTATACAGCAATCAAGTCTAACCTCTTTCTCAATGAGGGAATCCTGTATATGTGACAGATGGCTCTCTCTGTTCCTCTTAAATGCTTCCAACATTGGACCACTCACTACCTCCCAAGGTATTTGATTCCATTGTCATATTGCTCCAACAGTTACTCCTGATATTAAACCAAAATCTGGCTTCCTGTAACTTGAGCCCATTATTACAAGTTGCTCTGCAGCAAAATTTTGTTGCAGCAGCAATGGCACAGCCCTTCCTTATAGTCTCCTGAGTTCACATGCTGACTGGTTTTAGCATGACGATGGTTTATTGTCGAGCGCAGATAAATGTTGTGGTCCCAACCAAAAGGAGAAAATGTCAAATCTTTACAAGTATGTAGGAAGTACTCCCTATAACCCAAAGATCCTGTCCAAACCAGTTTGCGCTAGACCAGAGGTCCCCAACCCCCCTGGTCCATGGCCTGAGCCTGACCAGGCCGCAGAGACAGACCTCCCCATCCAACCTCGCCCGCACTCCCCCCACACAGCCCCTTTGCACATGTGTGTGTGTATCTGCACCCACATGAGTGCTACCCCAACACTTCACACATGTGCATGAGTGTCCCCTGAGTGCCGTGCCACCCTTTGCGCATGAGCACAAGAGCATCCACAGTAGCGCTGCACTGCTCTTGGTGCATGTGTGCGCCTGCATGAGTGCCCCCCGCTCCTTTGCACATATGCATGAGCACGCACACTCCGCACATGCGCATGAGCGCAGGGGGTGCCCCGCCTTCCCCAGCCAGTCTGCAGGGCTAAAAAATTTGGGGACCGCTGACCTACATGATCCAATGGTTCAAAGGACAGCTAGAAAAATGCTGTACAGTGGTGCCCCGCTTGACGATTACCTTGTTACATGAGGAAATTGCTTAACAACGTGTTTTTTGCGATCGCTTTTGCGATCGCAAAATGATGTTTTTATATAGGGAAAATTCGCTTTACGATGATCGGTTCCCTGCTTCGGGAACCGATTTTTCACTTTATGACGATCAGAAAACAGCTGATCGCCGAGTTTCAAAATGGCTGCCTGCTGTTTAAAATGGCTCCCCGCTGTGTTTAGGAAGGCTTTCTCGCAAGACAGGCACCGGAAAATGGCCGCCCTATGGAGGATCTTCGCTGGACGCTGAGGTATTTCGCCCACTGGAATGCATTGAACAGGTTTTCAATGCATTTCAATGGGCTTTTTCATTTCACTTGACAAGGATTTCGTTCTACAGCGATTTTGCTGAAACAGATTATCCTCGTTAAGCGAGGCAACACTTTATTTGATTCTCCGTATATTTTACAACCAGTACACAATTAATTATCTGTTGTACACTTTTTAAAATGCATTCTGTATATTTTAACTATATAATATGTTTGATGAACTGGTTGTACATTTTTAAATTGCATTCTGTATATTTTAGCCATAAATATGTTTTATGAACTGGTCACCTGACCGTAATAAACAAATTCATTCATTCATTATTACAAGTCTTACACTTTGGGATGATAGAGAACATATCATGCCTCTCCTCTGTATGACAATCTTTCAAGTGTTTGAAAAGTCCTTTCATGTTTCCCCTCAGTTTTTTCTGAAGGCTATTAATGCCCAGTTGTTTCTATCTTTCCTCACAGGACTTGGTTTCCAGTCCCCTGATCATCCTTGTGGCCCTCCTCTGAATGTGTTCCAGTTTGTCAGCATCCTTCTTGCAGTGCAATGTCCAGAACCAGACACAATACTCAAGATGAGGCCTAACCAATGCCAAATAGAGAGGAACTAGTACTTCACAGGATTTGGAGATTACACTTCTTCTATTATAGCCTAAAATAGCATCTGCTTTTTTTTTGCAGCTGCTGCATTGCACTGTTGGCTAATATTCAGCTTGTAGTCCAAAATAAATCCAATATTCTTCTTATGTATTTATTTATTTATTTATTCTATTTATATCCCACCTATCTGGCCGTTCTTGCATGTGGTATTACTGAGTTCTTCTTGTAACTCTGCATTTGGTTTCTTTTTCCTAAGTGTAGAACTTTGCACTTGACTCTGTAGTAGACATGGTCTAGAGGGGCGGGGTATAAATCCAATAAATAAAATAAAATAAAATAAAATGTATTATGTTTTTAGTAATGTTTCTGTCTTTCAGATTCTGTAACCAACGGTGTATTCACCAGACGGTTGTTCTATCTAGCCCGCACCTAGTTAGCTTGCTAATCAGGATATCATGGGGCACTTTGCAAACCCTTTGCTAAAGTAAAGATATATTTCATCTACAGCATTCCCACCATCTACCAGGAGATACCCACACACACAAAAAAAGAGATAATATTAATCTGGCACGCTTTGTTCTTTACAAATTCCATGTTGGCTTCTGATTATAACTGTATTGTTTTCAAGTGCTTGTAATCTGCTCCAGATTTTGCCTGGGACTGATGTCAGACTGAATGGTCTATAGTTCCCAGATTCCCCCTCCCTTTTACTTGCCCTTTTTGAAGCCGGAGGCAATATTAGCTTTCCTCCAATCACCTGACACTTCACCTATCCTTCACAACTTCAAGAAAATAATAGAGTGTGGTTCAGCCCATTTCCTTTAATCTTCCTGGGTTCAGTTAGTCAGACCCTAGAGATCTGAAGTCATTCAAAGTAATAGGGCATTCCTTGATTATTGTGTATCAATCTCAAGCTGCAATCTTTGCTCCTCCACTTGTACTTCACATTTGTCTGGAGTGTCATACACTGTCTTTTCAGGAATTAGTGAGCTAAAGTAAGAAATGAGCATTTCTGCCTTCTCTTTGTCATCTATCATTTTTTCATTTCCTCTGAGTAGCAGACTTACTATCCTTTTTCTCTGTCTTTTGATACACATGAACTGGAATAATACATTTTTGTTGCTTTCAGAATATCTTGTTAACCTCAGCTCATTCTCAGGTTCTGGCTTCCTAATGCTATTTCTGCTATCCTTTGCCACCTGTTCTTTGTTACCTGTCCTTTGCGGCCTGGCTCTCCTGTGACTTCCTATATGTATCCTTTTTTATTTTCTGGTCCTCTCTGAGCTACAACCTTTTTTCCTTGTTGGCATTGTTTGTAGTTGTGTTGTCTTCTTCTTCTTCTTCTCGGCATTGCCATGGCAGGTATCAGGAACAGCAAATCGATTGACAGCCTAGCCTTACCTTATATCCAGGATCATTACCTAGGTACTAGTCTACCATGGCGTTACCCATTCAGTCAACTTAGGATTTTACTAACCCATTCCAATTATAGGTAAAGAGCACAATATAGTGCTCAAAATAAAATATTGTCCACTTTTTCTGCCACTTCTTTCAGCAATTTCAAATATGAGATTTATACTCTGGTCAGATATATGACCACAAGACCCATGCATAATTACTTCAGATGGTTCCACCCTGATCTTATCATAATTTGTAGACGGCTAAAAAAAACAGGTCTTAAATCTGTCCTGTCCACATGCAGATAATTATCCTGATTGAAAAAAAGGTAAATGCAGGGTAAGGTGATGATCCAAGTAGGCCAAATTCCATAATCAACTATGCACTCTTTTGGAAACAAGAATATGAGTAACACACATGGTGGTTTTTGATGTAACTACTGTAATGACAAGACAGACGTTCTGAGGGTGGGGGCCCCCGTGGTTGGTGGCTTGGTTGACTCTTGTTCGGGGGCGTGACCCTTGCCACAAAGAGTGCGGTTCACAGCTTGGGGATACATCTGGACCTGATGCTCACCATGGAAATGCAGGTGGCGTCAGTAGTCCGCACCACTTTTTCCCATCTCTGGTGGATAACCCGGCTGCGACCCTATCTCGACACGGGGCGCTCACTACCTTGGTGCATATGCTCATAATCTCAAGATTAGACCACTGTAACACACGCTACGTGGGGCTGCCTTTGAGGCTGATGCGGAAACTCCAGGTGGTGCAGAATGCACTGGCCAGAATCCTTAGTGGAGCGAGAAAATACCAGCATATTTCTCCTATTCCGGCCGCACTGCATTGGCTGCCCATTCGGTTCCGCATCAACTTCAAAGTTCTAATGCTTACTTATAAGGCCCTAAATGGTTTAGGACCTCGATATTTGGCGGAACGCCTGCTCCCACCAAGATCTACCTGGATCACCCGTGCGAGCCAGGAGGTGAGGCTGAGGAGGTTGACGCCGAGAGAGGCCCGGAAGGAAAAGACACGAAATTGGGCCTTCTCGGCAGTGGCTCCTCGCCTCTGGAACAATCTCCCTCCAGAGATTTGCGCAGCCCCCACACTGGGTATCTTTAAAAGCCAATTAAAAACATGGATGTTTATTCAGGCCTTACCTCCAGTCAATACTTGATTCTTTCTTTTTATTCTTTCTTTATTTACTCTTTACTCTATTTTTCTGTTTTGTAAATTGTTATTGGAAGATTTATGTAATACTTTTGTGTTATTTTATTAGTTGTTTACGCTATATTGGAAGTCACCTAGAGTGGTCGCATAGACCACATGGACGGGATACAAATCAAATAAATAAATAAATAAAATACACTTTAATCAGTGGCAAAAAAATTTAAAAAAATTAATTGCATTTAATTCACATTCAAATCAACGGGGCTTAACTTAAATCGCTGCTAATTCTTCACATTGATTTTAGTGGTATCTAAATGTAACTAACAGCCTAGCTCCAACCTATCAAATATAACTTTACATTGATTTCCACAAAGGGCTGAACAGACTCCTTATGTATTTTTTTCCGTATAACATGCCCCCTATCATAATTTCAGTATATTATGTATTTTTTTCCCTATAACATGCCCCCTATCATAATTTCAGTAGACCTAGGAGTACAAACTTGATTGGTAGATATATTTCAGCCCTTAATACAGTATTATTTTTATAAACCTAGTGACTACACAGAAAGATCTTCTTTCTCTTTGGCACAGAAAGCTGTCAGCTAATCTTGTAGTTCACTGGGTAGCATTTTCTGATGTACATTATTTCTTAACAATTACTAAAGTAGCAAAATTGCAATTTTTAAGAATTCATGTGAATTAATGTTTGTACCAAGAAGTTGCTCTAAGAAGCTGCAGTCTCTCAAACTGCCACAAAACTCATCCAACCCAGGTAGATTCACCTACTGACATTCAAGACAAGCTCATAAATACAACCAGTACTTATAGAATGCCAGTGAAACCATGACCACTGCATCGCCTAGACGCAACACATCTGCACTCAGCAGACTGTGAGCACAAAAGGCATCTTCTGTGGGCACACGGAGGAAAACAGACTTATATGATATTGTGGAAAAACTCTGGATAAATAATAAACAGATGTAATTTTTTTTTTAAAAAAGTGCTTTAATGGTCAAAAGTTCAGAAATCTAGCATGGAGCCTGTTCTGTGGTTTTCTCCCACAGTGAAGAAAATGGATGCAGAAATTAATGCATACTGCTGTGGTCTGGAATGAGGTGACCTGTGGACTGAGCAAAGGTGCAGCTCACCCTGAAATTTCAGGTGCACCTTCTGCTCCAGTGGTAAACTGCTCATGGCTGGGACAAGCCAGGATCATCTAGAAAAATTAAGACATAAGAGCAAGCAGACAAAGGGAAGGGTACAAGAGCAAACAGAATGGGAAGAATCCAAGGAAAAACATGGGAGAACAAAACAAAGGCAATCTCAGAATGGACAGTCACCGTTGAGGCACAGTCAAATTACTCTAAGCAGGATGCACTGAGGCCCTGTTAACTATGTGTTTCTATTGCTCTACACTGGCAAGTCCAACTTTCCTTGAGAAGACCTGTATTTCAAGTAGGAGTGGGAATTATAACATTCAATGGAGGAGTGGCTCTACTCACAGAAGGCACAGTGAGGAATCACACTCCCAACCTCTGGCTGTGCAGCCAGATACCTAAACCATTGAGCTATCCCAGCCAGCTTTCACATAGCCAAAAATGACAGGAAAATTATGGACCTTATCTACAGGCAGAGATGGCTTCTATCTTCCACCTCCATCAGAAATTTACAGATTGACAACTAATTCTCTCTCTCTCACACACACACACACACACACACACAATATCTTCAGACTCACTAAAATAGCTGACTAATGTCTACTTCACATGAGACTTCAGATAAACAAATTAATGTTTTATAGAGCTTGCTCATTAGATCAGAAATAAAGGATCAATAAGTAGAAGAAAATATATTCCTTCAAATAGCTTCCTTTCAATACCTCACACAATTTCATTGGGCTATTTTTGGTTTTAAAGGGATCCTTCAAAAGCATAATATTGAAATTAAAAAATTCAAATTTATTGAAATCATAAAGACTCAAGTGAAAAAGGGATGAAATATACACACCTAAGGAGAAAACCAAAAACACTCTGATCTTAGAAAAAATGGAAGCTGCAAGGAAAAAATGTAGCTTGATAAAAGTTGATGGCAAAAGGAACAGTTGAATCATAGCACATAATAACTAAAAAGCATTGCTTTTTGTCTACAAATACTAGAAATGGAGGCCAAGGCAGATTCAATCCCATTTATGCTGATGGAAGTGGTGCTCAAAAGCCCTTTCAATGTTTCAGAACTAAGGGAAACTACTCATTGCTTTCACAGGAATAAAACCATTTTTGAGAAAAATGTAAACATCAAGTCTTTCCCGTAAGGTATATAGATAACAAGAATGTAAAAAATTCAAGAAGAATATATGAAATATGATATCATTTTATAGTAGACCAATACTGTATTCTACGAAACAGCCATTGAAATTGGCTTGTCTAAACCATTTACCCATTACCATCATCACCATAATCACTTACAACTGTTACATTCCCTGTCACCTTAAGCAGAAGGAAAAGATATTACAAGAAGCAGAGAATTATAGATCTTTCCTTTTTATTTCTTCAAAACACTACAAGTCTTCTGCTCATCCTCTGAACCAACTTTGCCCTTCCTTTTTGCAACCCTAGGAACAAACTGCCCAAGCCTCTGACAGTGCAAAATTAATAAACGTTCACTAGTCACAATGGAAAGATTAAAACACACAAAGCACATACAAGTTTCCATCTAATACTGTGTTAGCACAGAAGTGGGCAAGGTGTGCTGTATGCAGTCTTCAAAGCATCCTCAAACTGAAACTAATCCACCAAACCATCTCCAAAATATTTTGCCCAATAATTCAAACTGCACCCTCCTGAAGTTTTCATAGAGGTTAAATTTCTCCAGTGCATGTATGTCTCCTTCCTGGCAGTTTTAGATCCTAAAAGATCTAAAGATTTCTGTCAGAATTGGAAATGATTGGTTGGTCACTTTCTGGTTTTTTTAAATGCTTTTAAAGGCCAAAAGCAAGCTCTAGAGAGGGTGAAACTGAATGTTCATGAGCTGTTTGCATTTGTGAGGTCAAAAATTGGGGTACTGCAGGTATGTGCAACCTTTCAAAATCTAGGAGAGGGCAAAATTGTCCCAAAGCCCTAGGAATTTGCTTGCCCCATGTCAATATAGGTCTGCAAGCAGAACAGACCTTCCCCACCACACACAAAGTCCTCAGCACTCCCTAAAAAATGTTCCAGAGGCTTTCCCAGCCCTTCAGCGAATACTGTACAGAGACATTAAGGGTTGAAGGGAGGGTGGGGGAACATACTCTCCAAGTTCCATTGCTAGAAAGAGTTCTATCAGTAGATCCCTCCTGCTATTTACACAGCTCTGCTGTGATCACAAATTTTAATTTGCATCCTCATTATCCTGAAGTATCAAGAGCCAATTCTAATACAGTGGTGCCTCGCATAGCAATGTTAATCAGTGCGGCAAAAATTGCCGCTAACCGAAAACATCGCTATGCGATTTTAAAAAACCCACTGAAACCTCTTCAATGCGTTCCAATGGGGAAAAAACTTAACTTTAAGCGAAAATCCTCCATACGGCAGCCATTTTCGCTGCCCGGTAAGTGAGGAATCCGTCCCAAAAAAGAGCGGGCAGCCACTTTTTTCCGGTGGCCATTTTGGAACCGCCGATCAGCTATTGGAAAAAATCGCTATGCGAAAATTGGTAAGCGAAACAGCTTACCGATCATCGCAAAACATCGTTATGCGATCGCTTTTGTGATCGCAAAAACCTAATCGCTATCCAGATTTGTCATTAAACAGGGCGCTCGTTAAGCGAGGCACCACTGTATTGTAATGTAGAAATGGCATTTCCCCTAATGGTCAAAACTCTGTCGCTTATCACAGTAAATTGAACTAGAGTGAGTCCATTGAATCAATGGGGAATCAGTGACTCAGTTCTTTCATAAATTCCCCTTATCATAAAATAAGTCACAATTATAGTAGGCCCAATTTGAATCAATAGAACTTAGAGAGGGAGTTGACTCGCCAAATCCCCATTGATTCAATAGGCATATTCTAGTGCAATTTGCTAAGCTAAGTAACAGGATTTCAGTCATTGTGTAGTAACATTGTTTTTAAACTTCTTCTCTGGAAAACAAGGCCTCAGTGTGATGCGACAGTTTTCAATGCTTCTCTTTGTTGTAAAAAATTAAATCTACCACATAGCACAAAGAACTCCTGTCCCAGAAATAAAAGTTTATTTGTGTATGCACTAAACAACACTTTAAATTCAGGCTGTAAATAGGAATAGGATTCCATGTGCACCCTAATGCTACATTGATTTGAACAAAAATGTACCCCATTTAAGGCCATCAGTCTTTCACAAATTATACCTATACAAAGTGTACAGCTCTGTTTCTCTTTTCCAGCAACCATACAATGAGTAAATACAGTTCCTGGAACTATTAAATTCTTAGAGATGTACACTTTATTTCTCAAAAAAAAGTGTACCTCTAATTCTAAGATCTATTCGCATCACTATCAACTACCAGAGAGCAAGCTTGAATATAAAAGCTAAAGATCATGAAAAATCATTTGTCAACATTTTGGCAAGTATACCTTAAAATTCTTTTCATTGATTTAATCTCCTTTTGAGCATTACTTTACTTGACAGCTCTACTCCATCCAACAGGTACATTAAAATGCCCATATAGAATTTGTTAGGGTAAGCAGCATTTTAAAGGAATGAGTACTAAATCATCTCTTTGTTTTTTCTTACCAACTTGTGATCAGAGAATCTTACTGTATTCAAACAAATATTCCTTTTTCCCTACTTCCCTACTCACACAAGAAACACATCCCCCAGCCTAATATTACCTGTAAAGCTCTAAAATAAAATGGTAAAGGTCAGGAATCTCACCAACACTGTAGAAAGAAAAGGTCAAGGGGCGGGGGTGATGACCAGAAGTACCTTCTTTTAGTTTTCTCTCAGTTAACAGCTTTGTAGCACTGGAGGAAAGCTTGTATAAATAATCACACAGGAAGATGGAGGAAAAAGAAGAATCTTGACATGCAACATTGTCCGAAAAAGCATCACAGTTAGGAAAATCTGCGAAAGAAAGGAAAAAATGTTAACAAGTGCCCCATCTCATGATCCATCAACTACAATTACATCCAGATCAGATTATTATTAGGCATTCTAGGTGCAGTTTCCTTTAAATATGGCTTAGAAACTTCAGCCAGGAAAGAACACAAGTACTCAACTACTTCTGGAGACAAAGAAAATGAGGAGTGTGGCCTGTATTACATACAAGCCACTAGGATGGCTGGTGTACTTCTATGCCTGTTTTAAAGTATCAGTTTTAGAGCTTTGGTGTCAGGTTATTTAAAGGATCCTGTGAGCTCTTATCAGCCTTCCCAGAACTAAGAATAGCTACTAAGACCTTCCGAACAGGTGAATCAGACTAGTATACAGTATATAAGAAACAGAACTTTTCAGTGGTGTCTCCTATTTTATAAAATTCTCTTTCATGGGATGTATTTTTGCTCCCACTTCCTTTAATTGTTTCTAACTGGTCCATACCTTTTTCTTCTAATCCACATGATATTGGGTGAATGTTTTTATTTTTTATGAAATTTTCTGAGGACTTTTCTGCTACGTTTCAGTGTTATGTTATTATTTTGGTTATAACATTTTCCCACTGTTTATATTTTTAAAATTCTTTTTATCATATCTTGGGAGTGATTTTGAGAGGGATTTGCAGCACTGAAAAGCTACACAAAATTACTGATGTAAAGAAGACAGTAAATTGTCACACCAAGCTACATAACAAATTTCACATACAGTATATAGTATGACACAATCTAGGATATAGATGCCACTTCATCTGTGTGGTGATTTTGGGAAATTAAAAACTTCCCCCGCCTTCCATTCTTAAACTGCTTCCCTATGAGGAAAAGGTCCTCACTGGAACACCAGAACCTCCAGGGTAGCAGGAATCAGAAACATTGTTTCTGAACAATCGCAGTCAACAGATTTCAGCCATTATATTTTAAGATGGTGTCTCAGGAACGGGCAACATATGGCTTTCCATATGCTATTGTATTGCAGTTACTATGACCCTAACTACTGGCTATGTTGACTAGGTTGAAAGAAAGTTACAGTCTAACATCTGGAAGGCCAACATTCCCAATGCTTTGTGTACCTAAGAAATCAAAGGAGCATTCAATGAGAGAGCAGTCCAATTAGGACTTAAGTCGTTGGTGGCTGAGCTAAGTTGTTAAAAACTTTTTATTATAAAAGCTATTCTGTTACTGCTAGATAAAGTATATAAATATTTCAAATAAATAAATAACTGGTGTGATGGTGGCTGTTTCAAACATACAGTAATTACATGCCATCAAGTCAATTCTAACTTACAGCAACTCCTTCCAAACTTTTCTAGATACAGAGTACTCAAAAGTGGTTTGCCATTCCCTTCTTCTGGGGTGCTCTGTTAGCCACAAGGAGTCTGTCCATGATTTATGTGGGGAGGGAATCTGGCCATGATTCATCATAATTATTTTGATGAGCCAGTAGTATATCACAGTCTCTTCTTCCATTTACCCTCTCTATTTTTGTCTCTCCCACACACTATAAGGCTCTGAAATGCCAAAACCAAGGAAGTTGAAGGACTCCAATCACTTGTACTTAGTTCATTATTTTAAATATTTGCAAAATAAAAATCACAGGAGCATTTGACCTTCTGACATCTATATAGATGTCAGCTACATAGACTGTGTTGATCTCATACAAAGTTATAAAATCCAAAGCATTGGCACAGTTCTCTACCTGAAAACTTGTTGTGGTGGAGGAATTCCATCTGAAGCCTTTGTCCTGATTTCTTTGCTAACAAGTATGGGGTACTGTAGATAGGATCTCCTGTAGCACACATCACATCTGCTCCACTAAATAACAACATCATTGTTTCCAGTACATCTTGCTTAACTACTGCAGCACACAGGGCCTGATCACAAACATGAAAAGAATGAAATTCAAGTGGAATACCAAACAGGATATGATGAGTGACTCTTAATTTAATGGCCAACTATACTGGTAGCTGATCAAGGGAAATTCATACAGGAAAGTCTGAGTACACTAACCACAACCATTAATTTATTCAGTCATGAGGCATTAACAATACTGGAAAACTGGCAGGTCTAAACCAATAGTGATTATTCAAGACAGCAGACAACATGACTGAAGTTGTCACACAACCACCCAATTCTAAGCACTACAGTCTTATCTGATTTCAGAACCCAGGCACCATTAGGCCAGGTTAGTATTTGGGTGAGAGACCATCAGATAATACCACATGTCCCAAGGTAAGTGTAGTGCTCACCCCTTGTTATGCAAAATAAGTCATGTATTATTCATGTACTAGGTAAATGTGGTGGAAAGGCGGAGCTGAGAAAGAGATTAAAAGGCGGAGCCTGAGAGGAGGATTCAGTCAGAAGAGTCAGTCAGGAGTGAGTTAGAGTCAGAAGAGATAGAGATTGAGTTAGAGACTGGTTAAGATAATTAGATAGAGAAGGTGATAATTATATGGCAAGAAAATAGTATGTTTTACATGTGAAGAATATCTGTGATTATTAATCATTTTGCTACACTTCATTAAATAAGTTCTGTTTGCATTTACCAGACAAGTGTTTGGACAAACGTCTTTTATGGTGTGGATAGAGGTAATCCACTGGTGGCAGTGAGGGAAACCAAGACTGGAACCTTTGTGAGGGCACCAAAAGTTGGTGCTTCATAGAGGTGAACGTCACAGTCAGGCTTAAAAAGAATTGTCCCTAAAACATGGGGAGCCACTGCTGATCAGATGTGACAGTACTATGATACAAGTTGCAGTGACCTGACTCAGTATAAGTTCCCTAACATCCTAGCCCTACTTCGACAATGCAGAGGAGGTGGGTATATTGGGCTAAACCATTAATGTTATACAGAGTTGAGCTAAGTACTATGATACAAGTTGCAGTGACCTAACTCAGTATAAGTTCCCTATGTTCTTATAAAATTAGCACACTAACATCCTAGCCCTACTTCGACAATGCAGAGGAGGTGGGTATATTGGGCTAAACCATTAATGTTATACACAGTTGAGCTACTGAAAGGAATGGGACCAGTTAGTCACATCTAACCTACAGCCCACTAATTTAAATTAATCTACTGAACAGAACTAATGGCCAAAATCCTATAGTGCAAATTACATCAGTATACGAGGATGATGTCACTGGCAAGGAGGGACTGCTGGTAATTAAAGTCATGTGAGTCCCTGCTTTGATCCAGGGATTCGCATGACTCATACACGATCAGGCTCATTGTACAAGAGCCATGTGAATCCCAGGATGGAGGCAGGAACTCTTTAATTATCAGCAATCTCCCTATGCATGATGATGCCATCTCTCTTATGTCAACATAAATCACACAGAATAATTTTGGCCAACTACATTCAGAATTCATAATATTTTGGCAACATAGAGAAAACAGCTGAGAGCCTGTTGCTTAGCATGGCAATTTGCAACTAGAGTAGGTTCACCGAGTTAACTGTATGAAGGAGACGACTCACCAGATCCCCACTGATTCAGTCAGCCAACTCCAGTTGTGACTTACTATGCAAAACAACATAATTTCAGTATTATCAGCAATCTCCCTATGCATGATGATGCCATCTCTCTTATGTCAACATAAATCACACAGAATAATTTTGGCCAACTACATTCAGAATTCATAATATTTTGGCAACATAGAGAAAACAGCTGAGAGCCTACTGCTTAGCGCAACTAGAGTAGGTTCACCGAGTTAACCGACTGTATGAAGGAGACGACTCACCGGATCCCCGCTAATTCAGTGAGCCAACTCCAGTTGTCACTTACTATGCAAAACAACATAATTTCAGTAATGAAAAAGAAAGATTCCCACACCCGATTTCTTTAGGTTTTACCTTATTTAACTCTTCTTTAGTTTTATAAAGAAGAGTAGTTTTTCTGAATCTTCCCTCTTTATATTTTTGGGTGATGAACATTAGCCTCTTGTCTGTTGGGGCATCCACAGGCAACTCCTCTTCTGGCTTAATATTTCCTTCCCAAAAACCATTTGCCTTCTTGTTACCTATCACAATAAAAAGCTGAAGGAGATGGAAAACAGATTTTACTTTTAATCTCCTAAAAATAGGTAATGCTAAAAAGCAAAAGCTATATAAGCAACATAAACAATGTTGGTAACACAGGACTAAAAAGGGAATAAACTAGAAGGAGACAGGCAAGCTTACAGTAAAACTGGGAGATGGAAAAGCAATCTCTACCTGAAGTGTGAGAGAGTGTTGATATAGTGTAACAGGCCTCTTTGGTGAAATAGAGAAGGAGGTTGTTACAGATTCCCACACCCGATTTCTTCAGGTTTTACCTTATTTAACTCTTCTTTAGTTTTATAAAGAAGAGTAGTTTTTCTGAATCTTCCCTCTTTATATTTTTGGGTGATGAACATTAGCCTCTTGTCTGTTGGGGCATCCACAGGCAACTCCTCTTCTGGCTTAATATTTCCTTCCCAAAAACCATTTGCCTTCTTGTTACCTATCACAATAAAAAGCTGAAGGAGATGGAAAACAGATTTTACTTTTAATCTCCTAAAAATAGATAATGCTAGAAAGCAAAAGCTATATAAGCAACATAAACAATGTTGGTAACACAGGACTAAAAAGGGAATAAACTAGAAGGAGACAGGCAAGCTTACAGTAAAACTGGGAGATGGAAAAGCAATGCATATTGACAGGAATAGCTTGTGTGTAAAATCCAATGCTCAAAACTCAAAATCGGGAACAATGAGCTACTGTGTAATATATATGAAGTGAATTTGCATGTCTGCTTCATAGGTGATTCATACAACTTTTACTTACCTCCTCATTTACCCTGTTATTCCCTACCTCAGTTTATTCTATTTTTCCTTCTCATAGAGATGGGAAAGGGCAATAAGATGAAAAATATTTTTCCCTATCCAATCATGGGAAAGGAGCTACAAAGAGTCTTAATGATGATCATGTCCCTGTTCCATACCCCATCAGGCACATCTCCATAACCTATGGGCTAGAAAGTTACTTTTAAAAATAGGAGACATGATAAAATACATATTAAATCAGTTATCTATATGAATGTTCCTTACATACTCAGACAAAATCACAAAAGTTTTGAACTTAATTAATTTTATTTATTTATTCTATTTATATCCTGCCTATCTGGTCTTGTGACCACTCTTAAAATACATAAGCACAAAAATGAAGTTATCTTTCAACATATTACGCACAAGCATAGCTACAAGGCCTCAAAGCTTCCCATTAAGTGTTCAGCTCTGAAACGACTTGATTCACTTCAACTGTGAAAATTGTACAAAATGTTTTAATTAATGTGTAGTGATAGCTCAGCCTTGTAAACAGGACAAAAGACTCTCCTTGCATAAAAAAGTCCTCATATGTTTTGTTTTCCCCCTCAAACATCTCATCTCAAGAAATCTCAGAATGACCTAACATGACATAAGTATCATTCAACAAAAAACAGAAACCTTTTGAAAATTACAAATCCTTTAAAAACTTCAAACTAATGTCAAGTTCCTCAAACATGCCATCACAAAATACTCATTGCTCACTTGTTTAGGTTGGGAAAGGTTACTTCTCTGGCCTCATTGGCTAGAATTCCGTAAAGCAAGGCAAAAATAAACAAAAGCATGTTTTCAAACTTTTTTTTCCTTGTGATAAGGCCTTTTCTTCTTCCATTCCATTATTTCCTACCTCAATGAGTTCATTGCTCCAAATGCTAGCATCCATTTTGAGGCTTCGGACCTTTGAATCTCTGGGACCTAATGATCTGTGCTGTCCTGCATCAAAACAGCAAGATAAATATACATCTTTAGCACTGACAATAAATGAAGTAGCATCTCTTAGTATATAAATGTGAAAGGAAAACGTTTACATTCCACTCTTTTAGATGCTAATGAAGGTGTGTGGGCTGCTGGGAACCAAGGCTTATGGATGACCTACCTCCATGCTTTCTTTAGAAGATCTGAAAGAACCCTCTACATGTACCTGTGTCTGTTTCTTCATACCCCATAATGAATAAAATCACTATGGGCATCCTCTCCTTCCTCTGGATTTATGTGGCATCCAAAAAGGGCTAGATACTGAGACAAAAGAGTTTCCAGTATTTTATTATTTTCTGCAACGGTACCCTTGTTATATGGACTGAGGGGCCAGAGAAAACTGACTGGCAATAGAGCACTTAGTCACAGAGACACCAGATCAATACAAAAGAAGGTAATAGCTGGCAATTCTGTATGCCACCACATAATATAAAGTTAGGTGCAGATGTAACTTTGCCAGACATGAAACCCAGGCAAGAAAGACTACATGAGTTGATTGAGCAATTGATGGCATAGTTCCCAAGTTGCATCAATACTCGATAAATATTGCATTGTTCACAGAAGCTTTCACCATGCTAGGATCTATTGAGAGTGGGAGAGCAACACATGGCTTGCAAGCTGTATGCCATCCCCAAGGGTCTCTACTATCCTTCTCACTGCCCCACTAAAGACTAATTCATTGTGACAGCAGAAGCAGCAGCAAAATCAAATCTAATCTAAGCAAAACAAAACCACCACTAGTTTCTTTTCAGAACAAGCCATGCACATTTCTCAGGAGCCTTGACTGAAAGTAGAATTGTGTTGTTGGAAGCCTCCCAAAAGGGAAAGTTAACATTCAAATGTTTAAAGAATATACATGCTAATAATTATGTGCTGTTAAGCCTAATGGTGACCTTTCTAAAGGTGTTAGGCATGAAATACTCCAAAGTGATTTATCAGTGCTTCCTTCTGGAGCTGCTTAGAGACTGTACAGCTTGCCCAAGGCAACACAGGCTGGCTCATCTCTCAGGAGACATAGTGAGGAATCAAGCTCCTGACCACTGGATGTGCAGCAGGTAACCGATTTGCTGAGCTCTGAAGCCACCCCCAGTTATCTATCATAACTTCCATCACTCCCCTCCATGTGAAGTGCAGCAGACTGAACTGGAGAGCCTCTAGTACCCATGGGAGCTCTCCACATGGGTTGGGAACATGGAATATCATGTTTTCTACTCATATGGAGAACAATTACCAATAGCAGAGGCTATTTTAGACTGTTGTTTTCCATATGTAGGAAAAGAAGGCAACAAAACCAGGGATGAAAGGGGGCAATATTAGCATACTCTCCTCCTTCAGACTTTGATACAACACACTTTTGTGTGTTTACAAGGATTTGGATGTGCCTTGTTTACTGGAAAAGCTGTGGGATTTTTGTCCCTGCTACTGCAGCATTTAATCCCTCCTCCATGTACTTCAACTGTTATTTAACTGATATTAGATGCGGTTTAATGAACCCCTCCAAAGCAAAAATATGCATGTGTATGTGTGCACATGAACACACATACACATATTTACAATGGTGGGACAACAGAAACATAACAGAAATGAATTGCCTCACATACAACAATACATTATATACATTTGTATATACAGTGGTTCACATATTTTATAGGCTTTGTTATTGGACTTCCTTTAAAAAAGAGTAAACTAGAAATAAGTGATGCAATGCTCTTTAAAACATTAAGGCTGTTTGACAGAACCCTCAGAGGTCATTCATAATTACCTGCACACTTCTTACAAATGACGACACAGAGATTGATGGATGCCCAGTCAGGATCAAGGGCTTTGCAATCAGCACATATCTTGTTTGATTCATTGTACCAGATCTTCTCTGCCACTTCATAGTCAGAAAGAGTCTCTGCTATGGACTGCTGCAGTGCTTCAATCCATTCCTGTTTTTCTTTCTCCGTCTCAGCTGTAAAGCTGAACATCATTGATATACCCAAATAAAACATATGAATTTTAAATACAAAGAACATGGAGTTTGTTTGATTGTCAATGGTTTATTTTATTATTATTTTATTATTATTCTTTTTCAAACTACATTTGGATAAACTGGATGATGAAATCCAGAAAACGAAGATAAGCCCAAGTGCACAGAAATCTAGAAAGTGAAACTAACACCAAATTTGTTACTTTGTCAATCAATCAAATAAATAAATACACACCTAGTTTCCTTTCTCAGACAATCCAGTTACATGAGGGATGGAAGAACAAGGCCCTCCATGCTCACAATTCGCATTGGACCTTAATCAGCGTAGCCAAATATGAATGAGGATGGGAGTTGCAGTCCAAAAGCATTTGAAGGGCCACATGTTCTGAATCGCACAGTTATGCACATTAGCTCAAAAATCTCATTCTTTACAGAGACTTATAAGAATACAGTGGTACCTCGCTAGACGCCCCCGCTAAATGATGAATCCACATAACGATGACATTTTGCGATTGCTATAGTGATTCGCAAAACAGTGATTTCAATGGGCAATGTTCGCTGGACGTTGATTTGGTCCGTGCTTCGGGGACCATTTGTTCGCAAGACAACAATTTCTACAGCTGATCGTCGGCTTCACAAAATGGCTGCCCTGTGTTTTCTGGACCCATGTTTCGCAGGACAGCCATTTTTACAGCTGATCGGCGCTTGCAAAATGGCTTCCCTATGGGCGATCTTCGCTGGACGATGAGGTATTGTCCCCATTGGAACGCATTAAATGGGTTTCAATGCATTCCAATGGGGAATCACATTTCGCATGATGATGATTTCGCTAAACAGGATTTTCACGGAACGAATTGTCGTTGTCATGCGGGGCACCACTGTAGCACAGATCCATCCCCACTGTCCCTGTTTAGTCTATTCAGTCTAGATATGTGTGTGTGTTTTAATGTGGACACCCACTTCAACTTTTTACAAAGTTGGTAGTTGTGACGTTCCACCCAGTATTCCCTGTTTGTTTCCCCCAGGCCTGCATACACCAATCTTTAAAAGATGAAGCCGAAAAAATCAGACCTATGTATTTGGACAAAATTTGAGGGAAATTTGGGTATTCATCCCTAATACTGACCTATTGATAGTTGGGTGTAATACTAAAAACTAGCATTTGAAAATTCACTCCTTCTCATTTTTGCCAAATCTCTCTTGAAAATTGTCTGACAGTTAGTTTTCAATTTGGATGTCGCAGACAAGAGCTTGGACGGCTTTGTGAATTAAGGGGGAAGCAATCAAAGAAGAACAGCCAGGCCATGAAAACAGACAGTCTTATATTTAAATAGATCCAATTATTATGAATTTTATTTAATTATAAGAGTCCAGTATTTGTTGATTAAGCCAGTGCTTTTGCATTCATTATAAAGAGAGTAAATTTACTACTCAGTGAGCAGCTACACAGAATGTGGCATGCATGATTTTCTTTATGACTCTGCAAAATTAAAGAGAATTCATTTTAATGTAACTTGAAAAATGGGAAGGGGCTCAGAAGATTCCCAAGGAGCCCTAGTTTTGCTCGAAGGGTCTGGGGTAGAGATGAGGGCATTTGTATTCGCATACAAATACCCCTGCACAGGTGGAGATAATGAGGGTCTGTCCCCATGGGGCCGGATCATCCACTCACCAATGCACTAATGTCGCAGGGTCCGCACCAAGCCATTCTTCGACCTGGCAGAGAGGCTTGTCGTCCCGTCTCATGCCAGGAGTGGCTTGGCAATCACAATCTCCAGAGCAGGGATAGGAGCACAGACCCCGCAGCATTAGCACATCAGTGAGTGGACATCTCCACATCTAGTCTGGTGTAAAGATGCTGGGGAATATATAAGAGAGACTTGGAAAAGCAAGGTTAAGTATTTGTGCCCCCTCTCATCCCCCCTGCACCCAGCACACATATTATCTCAGCAAACACAGGCTTGGGAAGATCCATTTGGTAAGATAGTGAGGTGCCACAGTCAGCTTCAGTGGAAAGGCATTTCTGTTACACAGAAAAAGCATTTATATAGTGTAGGTGGTTTCAAGGTACAGTGGTGCCTCACTTAGCGATTGCCTCGTTTAACGATGTATTCACTTAGCGATGGTTTTTGGAGCAATCTTGCGCTCTGTTTAGCGATGTTTCCAATGGGGAAAGTTCACATAGCGATGTTCGGGACCTTGCTTCGCTTAGCAATGACAGTTCGGCCCCCCTGTTTCGCTTAGCGATGTCCGTTTTCGCTATTTTAAGTGTGTCTTAAAACGTTCAAAAACTGTTTAAAATGCTTGGAATCATTAGTGCACCGTGTAAAACCTTTGCAAACTTAATTTGGCTTTGTTCTGAGTCTTCATTAATTTTTGGTGAATTTCTCCCCCCCCCCATTGGAATGCATTGAACTATAGGTTTGACAGCTAAAAATAGCTGACACTTTAAAAATAGCGAAAATGGACCTGTCAGAACCACTGAAATGCACTGAAACGTATTCAATGCATTCCAATGGGGGAACCGCGTTTCGCTTAGCAATGTTTCCTATGGCGATTTTCGCTTAGGGACGGTAATCTGTTCCCATTGGATTCCTATGGGATTCCTATGGGAAATGGTGTTTCGCTTAGCGATGTTTTCCCATAGCGATGTGGGTTTTTTGAACCAATTAACATCGTTAAGTGAGGCACCACTGTATCTCCAAAATAGGCACTACAATTATTTATCTCTCCATTTTGAAAACAAAGATTCAAGTAACTTGCCTGAAGCTTCTGTAAGGTGTAATTATTTCAAATGATTGTTTGGCTGTCCGGTCTACCTGTCTCACATTAGCCACATTCATGGGGATTATAGTGATGCCATATCCAGTCTTAAAATCCTAGAGGAGGGGGAGGAAAGAACACGTCAGCATCATTATTTAAAGAAAAACATTTACATAAAGACTTTTTAAAAATAGTGATTTACAGGCATTGTTTATCTACTGATGGTGACATGCCTGGAAAAACGATATTAATGTCTGCATTAAAGAATATTTAAAACTGTAGATTACAAAACATTGGTGTTCATTTCCTAGAAGATCAGTGAACAAAGTTTTAATTCAATGCATTTTCCCCAAAAGCCTAAAGTATTTCGTTATACTACATAGGCAATTCTTACCTTACAACATAGGCTTGTTATATAATTTTTACAGACACAGAGGATTGGAAAGAAGTTAACAGAACCACTAGTTTGATTAAGGAATAGGCACAGCAAGTTCATGATGGACTGGAGATTTGAAACCCTGAGTTCACACCCTTACTCTTTTAACTATTATGGATAAGCAAATACAGTACTGACCAGAGCTTGGAATTAAAAAGTTTTTACAATTAATGACATCATCTAGGAAAGAAGTGAACCACTAGTTTGATTAAGGAATAGGCACAGCAAGTTCATGATGGACTGGAGATTTGAAACCCTGAGTTCACACCCTTACTCTTTTAACTATTATGGATAAGCAAATACAGTACTGACCAGAGCTTGGAATTAAAAAGTTTTTACAATTAATGACATCATCTATAATGCCTACTTTTTACGGTAACAAAGGCACAATGTAGTTACTTTTCAAACATTAACAGGATGAGTGTTAACATTAGTATTGTAAGTGCAACAAATATTGGCCAAAACCTGTTGTAGCCCACTGAAGCAACTTTGATTTAGTGAGTCAACTCCTCCGTAAGCTCCATGGATTCAAATGGCCCACCCTAACGGTGACTCATCCTAAAGCAAGTCACAGTTAAAGTAGGCCCTTTTGAACCAACAGAATTTATGGAGCAGCTGACTGATGAAATCCCCATTGATTCAATGGACTTACTCTAATATAAGTGACTCATCCTAAAGCAAGTCAGTTAAAGTAGGCCCATTTGAACCAACAGAATTTATGGAGCAGCTGACTGATGAAATCCCCATTGATTCAATGGACTTACTCTAATATCATTTACTGCTTTGAGAAATAAGATTTTAGCAATTGTTTCTTTGCTACTTTTAGAAGAGACAATGCGAGCTGGATTTTTCAAATGTTATGCCATTCTCCCAATAAACCTTTATATTTTCCCCATTCTATCCTACGTATGTTAGACAATATTCTATGAGATGAAAGAGGAGATAAATGACTCTGAAGAGGAAAAAGAGATGGAGGACAAATTATTCTCCTTTGTGCCTGTATTTGTGTGTGTGTGTGTGTGTGTGTGTGTGTGTGTGAGAGAGAGAGAGAGAGTGAGACCTGAGGTTCCCAGTAGACACTGCAATAAAAATTGTGGCTTGAGGCTCTCTAACTCATCCACAAGTCACTTTAGACTCTGGCATTTAACTGGCAAGTTAACAAGTAATGAAACAAGGAACACAACAAGCAAAACAACCAGTTACTAAATTTCCTTCCAATAGCAGCAAAGAATTAAACTTTTTTGTAATGAATAAGGCAATGAGTTACATTTATTCTGACCCATAGGTTTTCACAGTCACATTTATTAAAGTTAATTTCCAAATCTCACATTTGCAATAAAGACAGAACTGGTGTGTGTGTATGTGTGCGCTTGTGTGTGTGTGCGTGGGCGGGGAGAAATTACCTTCCAATATGATATCCCATCACACATCTTACTGACGCATCAGGAAAAGCAGCCATGCATAAAACTCAACCATACTGCCAAGGTAAAATAAGAACTGGCCATTCATTCCCTACTAAAAATATCAGAATTTAAGTATCCCATCAACTGGCTCCAAATGGAAGTGAAAAGATGGCATATATGGAAAAGACCACACAGGCATCAATCTAGTAAAGTGGGCTGACTGCAGTATTATCTCCTTTCTTAAAAAATTCTTTGCAGTGGAACACTTAGTTCCCTTAGTTCACACAATGCCACAACTTACATGTTTTTAATCTGGGAGGTAAATACTATCCCTAGCCATTGTCCATGTCGACTAAAGATCATGGAAGTCACAGTTTAACAACATCTGGACCCTACCTCTGATATGGTAAAATCAAAATAATGTTTATTTTCTGTATGTAAGGGGGGATGACTAACAGGTAGAAGGAGCTCAATCAGCTGTGGGGTAAGCAAAGGGATTCTGCTATAAACACCATATCAAAGGTGTACCTTAGAAATGTGCAATGTTGTTAGCCACCAGACAAGGGAAAGTGGTATATTTTCCCCTTAGCTAGTGATTGGCAGGCTGACTAAAGGAGAGACCCACCCTTTGTTATGTGACCAAACTGTCCTAGGAAACAGCATAACTCACTTCTGTTGACATATCTGTGATAAAGATGAGCAACGTGTAACCCTCTAAATTCTCCTGGATTTCCAGCACCCCTCCCAATTAGCTTTGCAGGCTAGGGTGGGAGTAATAGTTCAACAACATATGGAGGGCCAACACTTCCCCACCCATGCTCTAGTGAGGAGGAAGAAAGTGGTCCGTTAAACCAGCCTATTGATCCAGGAGTTTAGCATGGGGATTGCACGACTCAGAAGTAGAAGAATCAGTGGTGGCATCTGAAGAAATCAAACACATTCACCACTGGGGAAATTAAGATGCCTGAGACCCACACCAACACTGGCAAACCCATCCCCGGCTGAAACACTGGTACAGCACACCCTCCTCCAACATGTACTCTGCAGCCAAGGCACCAATGCTAGCAATATTCCCCAGGATAAGCTCACATTGAGACAGAGATGTGCTAGGCTTCATACCAAAAGCCTCTCCCTTTAAAGCATCACATGTTGAGAGAAAGGATGAAGCCTGGGAGAAGTAAGTGCCAAGAGACATAAGGGCAACAGCTAGGCTCAATTTTTATTTCATGTTATTTTAATTAAGATCACTTGGAGCTATCCTCACTTGGAGCTATCCATACTGTAGTGTTGGGTCCCCACTTCTGCTAAGTTAGCTGAACTTTCTATGGTTCATCTTTCTACTGATGTGGCAGTTGATGGTCTTTTTCCAACAAGGATGAAAACTGGAGCAATTGTAGACAGACTTCGATTACAAGACTTAATTCAGATTTGATGTGGTGATCAGATAAAATTACTGAAAATAACGTAATTTTCAGTTTACGAATGACAATCCATTGAAAAAAATGCCTGTTTAAAAAAAAAAATTGCAATATGAAGCAAGTTTCTCCAGGACGCATTGCACCTGGGAGGTTTATAGTGCCACTCTCATGCATGCTGGAGCCTGTGGGTAGCATGTGGCATTGAGTATGGAGGTGTTGGACCAGTTTTTGCATCGGGTTTTGGAGCCATTCTGGAATTCTTTTGCAGTTTGGGGACTTTTTTTACTTTGCTTTAGGGCATAAAAAGGATCGGCCCAAGATATTCGCCCAAAAATGAAGGGCAAGATGGCACCATGTTCCTCATTCCACAATGAAGGGCCTGTTGAAATTTAAATCAGAAGTGGTGCTAAGACAGCACTTGAAGAACTAGCCTGTTTATGAGGCGAGAACAGGCCATCTGATACACTTAGCTTTATTTTCCAAGAATGGGCTCAAGAAGAATAGCCAGAGGACAGCTGTTGCTGCCCTTTGACATCTACCTTATGGTAGGGGCTGCTCTGGTCATAAAACATGCAGGCCAATATCCTGTTCAACATTTATGCATTAACCCCAACTTCAAAAGTTGCTCTGATGATCTGACATGGGCTCAGAAGTGCACCTCATCATCACATGTGATTGGCACCTCATCAGACTGTTGTGCCTGCTTCTCCAGTTGGAGCTTTGTGTACACATAAATATTAAGTAAGATACTGGCCAAAGGGAGAAAGCCCTATGATCATTCATACTATAAGGTGCCTAAAGCAGATAATATGAATCATGATGTACCCAAGCCCACATGTGAGGATTCCATTTCTTTGAGGACTGGAAGCTTTCTCACACAAACCAGTGGCCTAAAATGTAGTCAGGTTATCTTGACAACTTTCTTCATACTTTATAGTTTCACTAGGTATATGCATTACTTCTATTTACTCTGCCTCCTAACATGTACTTCATTGGTGTATAATGTGCTCCCAAGCCCTAGCTGACAAGATGATTACAGGGCCCACTCCCCGCCCACCCAATGATAGAGGTGCATTAATAAGTCACTGTGACATCTCCAGAGAAACTGCTGTGTTGAAGCAAAGCAGATATATCAGAAAGAAATCCATTAACTGAAGAAAAATATGACATGTCTGAAGGCAACATAAGAGAATTATTAGAACCATAAATGTGGGTGAGGACTACTGGCCCAGACAGGGAAGCAGAAGAATTAATAATCCAGAAAAATGAATTCAGGCAAAAATGAAGTAGAAATGTTCTGTATCTGTACACTAAAATAATTAATGAGAGATCAAGAACTTGAATTTGGAATCTTACGGTCTTCTGCTGAGAACTGATGTACTTAGTTTTCTCAGGCTACTTTGTACTCAAGTTGCTAAATATTCTTTGGGGACACAAGAAGTTATTATCAATATGTAACTAAATACTGTAAATAAACGAGCAAAGTCCAACCTATGCTTAACGTGTAATTTGAGGCTTCCAGATTGGCCAAGCCTGTTATATAGCAGTTGCAATGGGATGGCATCTTCTCCCAGACCGAAACAAAGCAAGTATTAGGTTCAGGTTTGCAGAGAAATGAAATCTGATGCAGGGTTGTCTGCAAACAGTGCTTAGAAAGGAAAAAAAAGTTAGGAAAAATGACTTGAGGTGGGAGAGGAGGAAGTGGAGGAGAAGAAATTATTAGAAGCACGTGCTTATTGTTGCAATTCCTGAGAAGAGAGGGCATGAACTATCTGTAGCTTCTGCTTATTATTATTGGTATTGTTGCTATTGTTAATATTGTTTTGATTAAGATTCTTGAAATTACACATGCTATGAAT